AACTACGAGTTTAAGGCAACACACCCAACAAACTCCCACTTGAACTAAACTCGAATGGGGTGTACATTATCATAAAGCAAATGGAAAATACAATAAACTAGGGCATACACTATACCCATTACATTTCTCCCACTTTCCCTAGACTAATTGTACAATGCTCGTAGACCTAGACTTTCTAGATGGTCCTCAAACACTTTAGCCGTGAGTGCCTTCGTAAAAGGATCAGCAATGTTGTGCTCCGAAGCTATCTTTGTGACGATTACATCTCCTCGTTGCACTATCTCCCGTATAAGGTGGTACTTCCTTTCGATGTGTTTGCCTCTCTTATGGCTTCGAGGTTCTTTAGAATTTGCCACAGCACCACTGTTATCACAATAAAGTGTGATAGGCAAGTTCATGTTTGGAACAACTTCCAAATCTGTCAAGAACTTTCTAAGCCAAACCGCCTCTTTTGCTGCTTCACAAGCTGCAACATACTAAGCCTCCATGGTAGAATCTGCGATGCATCCTTGTTTGATGCTTCGCCAAACTACCGCTCCTCCGTTAGAGTGAATACTGACCCCGACGTGGATTTCCTTGAATCCTTGTCTGTTTGGAAGTCAGAGTCAATGTATCCTGTAAGGATCAAATCCTTAGCACCATACACGAGCTTGTAGTCCCTCGTTCTCCTAAGATACTTGAGGATTCCTTTAACAGCAGTCCAGTGATCATATCTTGGGTTGGATTGGTACCTACTGACCATCCCTACTGCATAGCAAATGTCAAGCCTCGTGCACAGCATAGCATACATCAGGCTGCCCACTGCTGAAGCGTAGGGTATACGTCTCATATTCTCAACTTCTTGAGGTATCTTAGGACATTGTTCCTTAGACAGATGAATTCCATACCTGAAGGGTAATAAACCTTTCTTGGAATTCTGCATCGAATATCGAACAAGCATCTTGTCGATATAAGTTGCTTGAGACAAGGCTAACGTTCTGTTCTTACAATCCCTTAGAATTTGGATGCGAATAACATACTGAGCTTCTCCCAAATCCTTCATTTGGAACTCAGTCGCTAGCCACTTCTTTATGTCAGTGAGGTATCCTACATCATTCCCAATAAGTAGGATATCATCCACGTACAATACTAAGAAGGCTACAATGTTGTTGACGACCTTCTTGTATACACAAAGCCCATCAACGTTTTGGTCAAAACCATAAGATTTGATCGCAGTATCGAACCTTTTGTTCCAAGATCGAGATGCTTGTCTCAATCCATATATGGACCATTTAAGCTTGCAAACCTTTTGCTCTTGACCTTGAGTTATGAACCCTTCGGGTTGAGACATATAAATACTTTCTTCAAGATTGCCAT